GTACGGGTTCGACATTAAACACTACCTCAGCGCTCACGCACTCGGCCACCTTTACGAGCACGGACTGGAATCCTTCCCTCCCCTGCAGAAGTACATGGCGGCCAAGTTAGGCAAACGGCCCAACTGACAAACTGAAAGACATCTATCATCTGGTGCAGAACATCACATGTATTAGATTGCGACCGAAACAACTGGCCTTGAAACAACAACAGGCCGGAGCCAGAAGACGAATTGTGTGCTTCGAGGATCCCTATGCTCAGCTGTGTTTGTATGCGGTGCTGACTAATAAAATTAGTCTCGCTTCGTTTTTCTGGACAAAATCACACCATCCGGTGATTTTAGGTAAGTTTTGAATCTTTGAATTCTTCTTCATTTATCATATGTTTTAATCTCTTGCTGATTCGTCATCAGCTAAGTATATTCACATTCATTTTTTAAATTTTTGTTAAATTCAATTGCATGACAATTAACATCTGCTCAAAGTGCTCTAAGTTTTTACTTATATACTTTTTCGTTTTTCTAATTATTTTTCTACAAAAAAAACTGTTTTCCAATTGGTTTTTTACCATTTCTGTCAATTATGCTTCAGTTCTGTTTTTTTGTTCAGATATTTTAATCATACAGAAAAAAAACAATTATTAAAAAAAATTAAGTTGATGTTTGAAATTGATTTCGTTTTTCAGGATTGGCACTACTTTAGGTTTTACATTTTGATTGTTTCTAGGGCTAATCTGCTTTAAATGTGCCAAGAGTTGGTTTCGATGTTCCCTCAAAACGAAGTTTCAGCTCGAGCAGAAATGCAAGAGAACTCAAATGTCTTCAGGGTAATTTAAAATTAATACATTAATTGGTTTACTTTTTCTTTGTTTGGCAAAAATTTATTTTTTAGACACTGAGTTTGAGCCTTATTGACTGCTATTGGAAAACAAGTCAGTCAGTCACTGAGAAATTATTGTGCGAAGTAAGCAGAGTTACCGATTTCAAGTCTATCGTCGACGTAGGTTCGTATCCAGTTTTTTTCCATTCATAGTTCCCGATTTCGTCAACTAATCCGTCAATTGTTACTAAGTTTATGTATATTCATATACTTCAATAGTATATGAAAAACTTTCCATTGAATTGTAACAAACTAATACATTGCTTCATTTTGTAGATTTAATTGGGTCAATGGATTAATAGTATTTAGACATTAAAAAAGTGAGACGTACCGTTATTATCAGCTAAAAGGTCTTTTTGAAATGTTTTATTAATCGCAATATTAAATCCTTAATTCCTAAGCTTCTTCAAAACTCAAGAGGTTTCAAAATTCATACCTGGTAAAAAGGTTATAAAATGTTTGCAGCCTCGTTTGTTGACCTGAAAGAGTTCATTGCCAAACCCTGTGTGCAAAAACTGCTTGAGAGTGAATGGAAGGGAGGCATGCGACTGACCCTAGTGGAAGTGGTCAAACACATGTTGACCCCATTTCTCATCAGCAAGCCGACCGAGCCAACAGCCGAACGAAACAAAAAGGCTATTTTAGAAGAGTTTCTAAACGAAAATCAAGAATATAAAAAACCTGTTTTTAAAATATCGACAGTTGCAGCTGCTAAAAAACGAATGAGCTCGATAAGAAAACGAATGCAACGGAAAACTGAAAACGACGACGACGAAGTTTCAAGTGACAAAAGATTGGCGGCTTTGCTATTGAGAAGTCATCCGAAAAAGCAGTCGTCAACTATCATCGATTCAGTTTCTCTAGCGGAACAGGCTTCTGAGAATGGAAGCATGAAAATTTCGAAGCAATCTGCGACACTAGGGCATGACGATGGAGACGACGATACTAATGATGAGGGAATTGACAGCGAAATGAAGGCGTCCAACAGGTATGAGGATATTTGTTTTCGCGCTCGCTCCTAAAGACCCTTTAACGATTATCTAACTACCAAAACCATCTAGGAGGTTGAATAACAAAGCAAATTACAGTCCGACAAACTAACTCTTTACGTGCTGGAAGCAAAGCTGAACCTTGATTGAGAAAGTTTGAGAAAAATCCGTTTATACTGTATGCCAAGTGGACTTTTTTGTTTTCAGGTTTTAAAAAATGAAAGGTTCAAACGCGAAAAAAATTATATAGACATTCTTCACTTCTAATTTGGTGTCCAGTACCCCTGTTTGGTTTTTTCATGCAAAAAAGGAACCTCATATGATGGGTCTAGAGCGATATCATATTAAAACCTTTTTATTAATTTTACACTACGGCAATTTTTGCAAAAAAAACGGCAATTAAAACACCTTTCCTTTTAAGTTTATTATGATAACTTATTATAGAAAACACTCCTATTATGTCTGAAGATTTTACAGAGTAAGAAACATTGTGAAGATTCTTATAGAGGTCTTGATGATTTTTTTATCAGGAAAAGTCTTAAAATGCTCTAATAACTACTGATGTGCATTCATTTATATTGATGCATTTATGAATGCACTTAGGTATATCTGCACTTTTTGAATTCAATTGAAATTCATCTGCTGAAAGTGACGTAAATAGCACTCTTTAAGTACGAAAGAGGAAATGGCGCAAAAAACGTGAACGATTTCTAGTTTGGAAAGTTTAATTTCTAGATTTCCGGCGGAATAAAAACTTTGCTTGTTGATCCAGTTTTTTCAAGTTAATGTTATCAACAAAGGCGCCAACCGTAAATTGTTCTAGAACTTCAAAGAGCTTAAAGGGCATCTACTTTTTTTCTTTAAATTTCGAAAGTTGATTTTTTTAAGCAAAGTAAGTGTTTATTATGCATACTTGCGTTCATTACTTTTTTTCAACTGTCAGTTGGCTATTTTTGTTACTTTTTTTTAAAAGTTGAATGATTTACGGATTAAAGTGAAGTTTAAATTCAGAGTAGATTACTTTTCTGAGTAGCTCGATTTGAACTTCATTCACCAGGTTTTGTTTGGTAAATTCTTTACGGAATCTCAATTTTTAATTTTTTGCCTGAGAAAAAAACCCTGCCCAATCCTAATACATTTTTGTTTTTCTTGAGGAGAAACTTTGCATGAGATGATTTCGGATTACTATCTCAAAGAGTGATTTCAGATAAAGTAGATTGTGTGTTAATCTATTTATTTATTTTGGATAGTAAGTTCGTTCAACTCCCTAGTCTTTAATATCAATTTTAGTACTACTCTTACATCCTTTGTCCTAAAAGATCCAGAGGAATACTTGAAGAGGCAATGTTACTGAGAGATCAACTATACTCTGATATTCCTTAACTTGATCTGATTAGCAAATTAGTCTAGTTTTACCGAGTGCATTTAGAGATATGCTTTTGAAACAAAAAACTCGAAGGATAAAAGACCTTATTTGGATTTTTGTTTCGACAATTGTGAAGAAATTAACGGAATATTTGTGCTCGGAATGGTTTTTTTTTCTTCAGACAAAAATCGACTTCTTAACTAGCCTTTTTTGACAAGTTTTTTTAAATACCATTCAAAAAGTATTGTTGTCTTGAGCTTAAATTTGAAGTAAATATTCACCCGTGATTATTTTTTGTAAAGTTATGAGCGGTATATTTCGGGCCTATAACGCGTTGGCGGAGATTTAACCCGTCTTAGAACTCGTTCCAAATTAGTTGAAGCAGGCTATTTGCCATAATTTATTTGTTACTAGGAGCGAGCGACATCTATGACTTTTTACTTCATATGGCGTGTGTGGGGGGGGGGGGGGTTATTTTCACAAAAATCTCAAAGTTAAAAAAAGTTTTTGTTTTATTTGATTACATTTCTTTTTTTCATGTTATTACTGCTTCATAGACCTTAAGAGGCTCTCAAATCATGCAGGGCGTTGCCCTGATGCGAGCAGTCTTCTTTGTTTTATTTCCAAGCTCAATTAGCTATCGCAACAGCAAACTGTACAAAATCCAGTAAAACTTAGTTCTGACTTAGTTTATTCGGTCAAAACAAACAGAGTTTGAAAATTCAAACGCTTGCTTAAATTAGATTGAGATTAGACAAACTTTGAAGAGAACGAAGTTTCTTAAAATTTCACCTAAAATAATATGGTGCAATTATTTTCCCGATTTTTTCCTTCAAAGTTTTAACCCAAAAATAAGCCTTTCTGTTTTTTTTTTCAATTAATCAAGAAAAACGCTACCTACCAAAATAATTGATAAGAAGTTTTATGAAAAATTATCTTACACAATTAATCAAAATTCTTCTTAAACTTCCAAAAGTCTGTATAAGAGAGTCTATTCAGCATCAATATATTAAAAAAAAAGTCTTTCTAGGGGCCCAGCTAAAGCTGGAGGTATATTTTCGAGATTGAATGAAGTTGCCATACTGATGCGGCACAAAAAACGTGATTTCAAAAATTGGATTTTGCCTAAAACATTGGTTTTTTTTTCAACTAAAATAGTGAGAAGAGTAAAACATTTTTGAGATTATTGTTTTCAACAAAAGAAGAACAATTATCTTACAAAAATATTAGCGCAACCGGCTCTTTCAGTTTTCATTTCAGAAAGTTCACCACAACATTCATCTCAGGTTCAATTGTGTGAATCTTAAGAAAAATCAAAACATTCTAAAAAATGGTCAAAACCGTTTCCAAAATCCATGCTTTTTTCTGCATAGAGAAAGTTGAGGTCGCTTTAGCAGAAAAATTTCCAAAACTGGGCTTCTCGATTGAACACAACCTAAGAATTAGCATGGTAGTTTTCGCGTAAAGTCGAAAAATTTCAAAACCTGTCAAACTTTCAAAACTTCGACTTATTTGAAAGCTACAAAATTTTTCTTAAGCAAACTGGGCATTACCAGTTATCAAGGTAATCATTTAACAACATGTTGTTGCAATTAAACCTATGATATCAGATTTGGGAGGATAGTTCGCGAGAAAAGTCTACAAATTGGTCAACCAATCAACATTTTGACATCTCCGATAATCATAGCTTTTTGTGAGGAAAATACGGCGTATCAGCTTATTCAGAAAGGTTTCAATCAAAATGTAATTTTTAATAAGCTCAAAATCTCAGATTTGAAGAGTAGTTCTAGAAAGATTTCATAAACTTATAAAAAAACCGGCAAAAAATAATTTCCCGAGGGCCATAATTTTTGGTGTCAGAAAATTTGGGAGTAATTGCATGAGCAAATGAGTTTCCCACAACCTGTTCTTTGAATTGAACCAAATCTCAAATATGGCAGGGTAGTTTTCGAGAACATTCAAAAAGTTAGAAAAACGGTTAAAATCAAAAATTTGTTTAATCCGAGGGTCAAAAATATATGTGTAAAAAAAAATTCGAGCTTAGTCGCTGTGACAGGGAGTTTTTCGATTATTTTAGGCCGAGGAATTCGGCCGAAGATTTTTTGTAAAGCGTACAAAATAAAAAAGAAAAAAAGAAGTCAAGGTAAGTAAAACTACAAACTGGAGGAATAAATCAAAGACTAAAAACAACAATCAAAAATGAGCGCAGCAAAAAAAAACAGGTCCAAGATGTGAAAAATAAGCCGGTAACAGGTAAGCAGACAAATAATTATATCTATAATTATCAAATTAATACAGATTATATCTCAGTAATTCTGCCGCCCCAGGCACATTTGTTGCTTCCGGGCTAAGTAGGCCGGGATCGCAAAGAAGTTTGAATCCGTTGTGAGCCAGGATACAAGTGATTCAAGTGATTCCTTTAAACAAATTGTTAACCCGAAAAAGCCTAAATTTCAGTTTGATAATAGTTTTTGATGCATGATCAAAACTCCTCTTCTTTCTTCTAGAACACTGATTTGAACTAATTGAACAGAGAAGTTTTCAAATAAAATATTGATTAAAAATTGCAAAAAAAAATCCAAACAGTAGAGTTTTTTTGTAGATTTAAATTTGGTTGGAGATTTCTGTACTATTAGGGATAGCAACTGATCATTCCGTGCTTATTATTTTTCTTGCATAACCTTCTGATTCGAACCTAATCTTTTGATTTTTTGACAAGTTTTTTTAAATATCATTTAAAAAGTATTGTTGTCTTGAGCTTAAATTTGAAATAAATATTCACCTGTGATTATTTTTTGTAAATTCATGAGCGGTATATTTCGCGCCTATAACGCGTAAGCGGAGATTTAACCCGTCTTAGAACTCGTTCCAAATTAGTTGAAGCAGGCTATTTGCCATAATTTATTTGTTACTAGGAGCGAGCGACATCTATGACTTTTTACTTCATATGGCGTGTGGGGGGGGGGGTTATTTTCACAAAAATCTCAAAGCTAAAAAAGTTTTCGTTTTATTTGATTACATTTCTTTTTTTCATGTTATTACTGCTTCATAGACCTTAAGAGGCTCTCAAATCATTCAGGGCGTTGCCCTGATGCGAGCAGCCTTCTTTGTTTTATTTCCAAGCTCAATTAGTTATCACAACGGCAAACTGTACAAAATCCAGTAAAACTTAGTTCTGACTTAATTTATTTGAACAAAACAAACAGAGTTTGAAAATTCAAACGCTTGCTTAAATTAGATTGAGATTAGACAAACTTTGAAGAGAACAAAGTTGCTTAAAATTTCACCTAAAATAATATGGTGCAATTGTTTTACCAATTTTTTCATTCAAAGTTTTAACACAAAAATAAGCCTTTCTGTTTTTTTTTATCAATTAATCAAGAAAAACGCTACCTACCAAAATAATTGATAAGAAGTTTTATGAAAAATTATCTTACACAATTAATCAAAATTCTTCTTAAACTTCCAAAAGTCTGTATAAGAGAGTCTATTCAGCATCAATATATTTAAAAAAAGTCTTTCTAGGGGCCCAGCTAAAGCTGGAGGTATATTTTTGAGATTGAATGAAGTTGCCATACTGATGCGGCACAAAAAACGTGATTTCAAAAATTGGATTTTGCCTAAAACATTGGT